TTTGTTTTCAACAATTGCCCTTTGTTGTCCAAATCTTACATCTATTCATATCTTTGTTTCGAATGACGCTATTACAGAAATGCAAAATTTATTTTCTGGTTGTCCGAAACTTCAAGAAATTGATTTAGTTGGAGACAGAAGTGACGAAGGGAAATTGGACATTGATGATGTTCTTTGTGAAATTGGAAGCGTCGTTCCAGAAAATTTGAAATTTCTCAATCTGGGATCAAAGGCATGGACCTACACAAAAGATTCGATCAGTGAATTTCTTGATAAATGTGAAACCAGGCTGAAACGTAAACCATGTACTTTTATCATGGGCAGTCATTTGTCAAGAAAAGTTGTAGAAAAGCTTAATCTGTACGAAGAAAAGGGAGTGATCCAAATTATGGTTACTAGAAGTGAACGAGAGATATATTTATAGATTATTTGTTTCTAGTGATGGCAGTATTGACTGACGGGAACGTATGCTAATCAAAGGTGATATTCAACTGAAATTAGGGTTAAATTTTGTTTAGTTTCTTGTTTTATTTGAATTTGCTTTTTATCGATATATTACACAATTCATGTATCGATCCAATTAAAATAATAAAAGTTTATTCGCAAAAGACCTTGCATTTATTTTATATTTTAAGGGATAAATCGCGGTTAAAAGGTATAAAAAAATAACAAATTTAATAGTAGAAATTGTCGGAAGTTAATATAGTTTTTCTATAAGGGTAGAATGCAGCTTGCTTACAATGAAAACCTTCCTTAAGTTTCTAACAAATATTATAGAGAAAGCTATTCCGGTCTAATAGTGGTAGGCTTATTAAAATTAGTTTAGTAGATCGCGAGTTATTGGCGTGACTATATGATTTTTACATATTGTCAGAAACTTTCGGCGTTCCAACATTATATGTAATTCTCCACCGATGTTTACTATGAAATTTATACCCTTCAACTGCGATCTACAACTTAAATATTACTTTGAAGGCTAATTACAATTAACTAAGTTCATGTTTATTATCTGGGTTAATGTCAGTAACATAGCTATTGCAAATAGTTATTACAGATTTCTATGACAATTATTTAAGTTGAACGAGGCGATTCTCAGCAATGTGGAATCAAATCAGAAATGACAAGATATAGTAAAAACAGAAACTATTAGTTCTGTATCGTTGATTAATTTTATTTAAACATCATAATTGTAAGACATTTAAAGGCAACTATTTTTTTTTCTTATTTTAACAAAAGTCCCTAATATTTTACACCAGGGATTGATTGGTTATATCGGCTGTCCATTCTTATAATTTAGGGTTGGTTTACCTTCGAAGAAAAGCTCGGGAGAATCCTACCATTACGACCATTTCGACCATTACAAGAGCCTATTTTACAGTGCTTCAATGACAGAGGATAGGTACACTGATTGGTTGTATACTGCATGATTGAAGGAACGCTACTCTTAACTGGAAATCCGCTCATTTTTTTGTATGAGATTGGTACGTCAAATTCATCCAGTGTTGAATTTGATCATTTATTTTTAAATATACTAAATGTCTAACTCATGTTCTTTTTTACAAGTTCTAAATAATTATAGTGTTAACTTTACAATTTTCAGTTTACTAGGTGTTTAGACCCGTTAATGAATAATGGGGATATAAATAAACACGTGATGCGAGACGGATAATATAGATTTTATATTTGTCTGAAATTAGATAAACGACTTTACTAAAATGCACCATGGGTGTTATTCTAAATAATATCTCTAAGTAAAAATACTGAGCCTTAAAAAATTTTTATTTCTAATTTCAACACTAAATTTTACCCTAAAAAAATTTTATACAAATAATAAATTAGTTTACACATATTGGATAATAATTTATTGATTTACAAATTCGTGTAATATATAAATTATAAGACACAAAAAATTGCCTACGTAGTTCAAAATTAGAGTAAGGTTAGTTTTAAGGTTAGAAATGGTTAGAATTTCTGCTAAAATTTTGTATTGGATATTTTTTATTAGAACCCAGAAGTTTTTTTATAATCAGAATTGATATTATCATATTCGTGTATATACACATAGCGTACAAGTACAGTGATCGTAAAAAGATCCCTATGTATATATAATATATAACAAATTTCTTTCGTATTTTAATGAGTGCTACGTATAAATAGAATCATCCAGGACGGCCCCAAATTAGTAGGTTAGTGATCATAGACAGAAGTTCGTCTGATTGGTTGATTTTCTGTGGATCGACGTAGATCGATTTTTTAATTTTACAAAATTTG